CCATGATGTTATTCTATGCCAATCGTTTAAATAGGAAAGAAAGATATAAAATCAATCATAAAAGCATCTTGCTCTGTTGTTGATGTTGATTCTTTTTTTGATATCATGAATTGATAATTTATTATTACAAATGTTATGAATTAACTTTTTATTTTAGTATGACAAATTATTTATGAAATTTGTGGTCTCTCAAGTTGTTGTATCTAATGGCGCTATTCATCTAGATGATAAAGCTGATAAAATCGAGAAAACTCTATCACTTTCTTTAGTAAATACTTGTAGTATTGATATTACAAATAAAAATACAAATCCATTGGCTTCTAGTTCATGACAAGAGGTTATTATTACTTTTTTCACTTTATCATTTGATGCACTATATATATATATATATATATATATATATATATATATATATATATATATATATATATATATATATAATGTGGAGAGAGAGAGCATAGAGATCTGGCATTCCATAGCCCTCATTTTGAATTTGAATGAGATGTTCATATAGAACCACATTATTTTACATCGTAACTTGAGTCACAACTTACATGGTTAACGTAATACATGTCAAGGGGGCAAGAAAGATTGAGGTTGAGATCGTTTGCTCTTGATTTATGCAATATTATCTGTTGTGAATTAAATTGAGACACGGAGCATTTTTGCTTATAGAAAGATTATCTAAATTTTTTTAGCCCCATAGTAGTTTTATTTTTAGGGCGAGTTCAGGTTTTGAGGCTCATTTGCTATCTATTTGTTGTTTGATAATTTGAATGTTTAATCCTAATTTTACTTTTGAAGTCACTTCAAGGCCAGTGATGTAAGTGTAAATATTATATGCAATTTTGAGTACTTATAATTTGTTTATACTATTTAATTTATAGCTGAAATTTTACTTCTTAACATTTAATTAAACATGTAAAGTTTATGATCGTGGGATGATATGACCCTAATTAAAGAATGTATTTGTAAGACTATATATTTCATGTTTAAAGATTCATACTTCTTTACAACTTGATGTTTTTTATTCACCTTTATAGTTTTAATTTTAGAATATGCATTCTTTTTCATTACATATTAATTTTTTTGTTATGATTAGTCTATATTATGATCTTGACAATAAATTATTTGATTTATGTATCCACTAGATTTCATCCACAAGAACTTTGATTATATTAGTTTAGAGCAAAAATTTATGGTGGTAATTTAAGACAAAAACAGAGTACATTATTACTGATGTTATCTCTACTTAGGCATATCCTCTAATATGTGGTCTTATGCAAAATTTAAAGACTGTTGTTTTGTTCTCTATTGCTAATGATGGTTGTTATTTGATAATTTTGTTGATCTCAACAAGATTAATCATGCACGCTTTTATAATACTGATTCAATATAAATAGATAAGCAGGTAAGGGTGTAACACACCATAATATAAAGATTTTGGTTACCTAAGTTTTAACCTAATCAAGTCTGAAAATTATTAGGCTTATGAAGTTGGACAATGATAGATTGCTTGGTCCATAAGTATAGGCTTTGTTTGATAAAACCACACAATGATCACAAAAGGAATAAAATAAAAAGAAAGCAGGAATGTTTGATAGATTTGATATGGTTTAAACTTGGCTTTGTATCTGATTCTTTAGTATCACATCCTTACACCCCTTAATATTGAAAGTCCACTATGAATTTTCTCGTTTGGTTGTGGAAGCAACAACAACAGAAACAATAACAATATTACAAATTTATGCTCAATGCTTTAGAATTTACGTATATTTTCATTTTGTCCCTACTCCATAGTTTTCTTCAAATTCCAAGTATATTTGTTTGAAGTTTTTGATGCTTTGAGTTCGTAAGGTGTTCGATTTATCTACCATTTTCACATATTATGATAATGATACTTGGCATATTCTTGATCCACTAAAATAAACGAGTTAGAAAAAAATATATATTTGTGACAATAATTTTTTACTCTTAAGATCGGTATTCACTAGGGTTGATATGTCAATATGGGATGCCTAACTATAAAGCTATCGAAATATACTTGAATTTTGATGACTCAAGCATGGAGTATCTTTGATCTTGCTAACTAGATAGTATAAATCCGTATATTGAAATTAGATAAGCATACTTCATATCTTTATTGCATAAATTTTTTATGTTACTTTATTTGTGTTTCATCATTTTTCTTTTGAGAATCGATGCTGTTATTGTAAATTCCACTATTGATCATTTATCAAAACCTTTTATTTTTAACATTGTTTGTACCAATTATTGTTTCGAGGAAGCCAATAAGCGGAACAACATGTTACCCTCTCTTTGGGCAATTGCTGTCATTTTAGTCTTAGGATTTAATGAATTTATAATACTTCTTAGATAATATACTTGAATTGATGACTTTGTTTTGAGTATTAAGTCTCCTTCTTAGGTTGGTACTAAACTCTTATGTTTTACTTATGTAGAAATCCTTTGTACCTTGTTATCATATTTGTTGATTTTCTATTTGGCAAAGTCATTTAGGTTCAGTTAGATATCTTATGTGAATTTCAGAATGAATGTTGAATTAGAGTTCAAGTGTTGAATTAGAGTGTTGAATCACGGGTGAGCCTCTTTGCTCTGTTTGAGCCTATTAATATATATGTGGTGATGTAGCTCTTGGTGAATGATACTGTAACTTGTATGAGAGAGGTGGGATGGGCATTGCATGTCTTTTTCTTTCTTTTTTTCTTGCAGATTTTTTGTTCGGGGTTTGTTCATTGATATTATGTGTCATGTCAGGACTTTTTTGTCTTTGCAATCCCTAAAAACAACTAAACCAACAAGGAAAAAAAAAAGCCCTCTTCCTGTGATAACCCAAAATGAAAATTTCTTGATCAAAAAGTTCGATAATTTTTTAAAGCTGTCGTGGTGTTGCATTTTGTTGACACAGTGCTACAGTTCTTTTTACATAAATAGTAAATAAAAGAAATATGCTACTCTGTGGGTCTTATCGTTGGTAGTTTCAAGTTTCGTGTATTATACCCATTCTAAGATTGTTGTAACAAGGGACTTGATCGCGTGTTTCAAGAATAATTGTTTATTTGTGTGATAGTGAAGATGATTGAGAGATGTAGGTTGGTGGAAGGTTAATTATATATTATCCTATCTTGATTTTTAGATTTTTAAATTTTATATAATTTTTTTAGATTATAAAAATAAAATATTTAATTTTATTTATTCTAATATCGTTAATTTTATTGATGAAAGACATAATACATGATAACACGTGACATAAAAATGATAGGCAAAAAGATAATTTCAAAAGTGGTGCAATAGGTTAATAATAGATTACCTCTTGTAGTTAGATTTTTTTAGTATATCGGTTCTTATATTTAAAAAAATTAGATTAAAATTGATATAGTTATGAAAGTAAAATATTTAACCTCATTTATCCTAATATTGTCAGTATTATTGACAAAAGACAAAACATGTGCATGAATGACGTTATATCGCTTTGCCTCATCTTTCTCTTCTTTCCTCGTCGTCAATGACACAAATGTCTCACCTACTTTCTCTTCCTCCTTAGGTGTTGATGTAGTTATAGAGTAGCGCCAGAGGAGGTAGAGTGGTACAACATCGATATAGATGCCTCATCTTCCTCCTTTGGTGCTGATATATAAGCCTCATCACGCTATCTCTTCTTCCTCTCGTTATCGATGTTTGGATTGATATCAATAAGGTCGATCATCACATTAATTTTGCCAACTACATCGCAATAGTCACCCGTGATATCATCCTCTGTCACCATCGTTAAAATTATCATTTTGCTCATCTTTTTTATGTCATTTATGCATATATTATATCTTTTATTAGTAAAGTCAATGATGTTGGGGTTAATAAAGCTCAATGTTTTACCTTCATAACTATAAAAATTTCGATATAAATTTTTAAAGTCTAAGTATCGAAATATTAAATAGATCTAAGAGTAATTTATACTTAGCCCATTGTTAAAATTACTCTTTTGTTTATTACTTTTATAACATTCGTATTATCAAGTATTGTATCTCCATCGATAAAATCGATGGTGTCAGGATAAATAAGATTAAATACTTCACTTTTATAATTATTAAAAAATTAATATAATTTTTTTAATTTTAAGAATCAAGATGCTTAAAAGACTAACAACACCTCCTTTGGGTTGAGGATCCTGTCACTCCCGAGAAATCGCTTTGGCCTGCCTCCGCTACCACTGCCTTCACCACCAATACCATGGCAAGAACCCCTTCGCTTAGAACCTCCTCCCTGGCTTCAACCTCTACCGCATGGTCGACCCAAAGATGGTGCCTCACCTTCTAGGCCTCGCTTTGTAGTCCTCATGGTTGTTGGCACTGCCCACATCGATGGCTCCCTCTCTCGCACCATCGTCCGATTGGTCTCCTCCAATGAGGAAAACCCAAGGGCCTAGAATGAGGGGACCCGAGAACGTGCCACGGGCGATGTTTATCATCACCAAGATCGACCTCATTCTTTCTTGGATATCCCCCGAAGGCCTTTAAGGATTGGCGAGTCAACAAGTTGACAGGATTGCACCTGGTGAGCATCGCAAGGAGTTGGACAGAGGCTTCGGTCCCAAAGTCCCATGGAGAAAAAAGAGTTTGATTGATGGATGGATGGATGGATGTAGCATTATTAACATATGGTTAAGACAAGTCATACCAAAGTTTGGATAATAACGAATGTTATTGTATTAGAATAGATTGAAAGATTTTAATTTAGTTCCACGTTTAAAGTGGACTACTTCAGTGGTGGCTGCAAATTTAGATTTATGTTGCCGCCTTTCGAAGAAAAAGGAAACGTCAGCTCTAACCAATTTAACAGTCAAATAAATATGCAATAAAAGATCCAATGTGATGAACAAATTGGGCCCTCACAGCCCGCCCAACTGTTTCTATGGGCCCTTTTTAGCCCAAATTGCAGGCGACGGACCCTTGCAACCGTCTCTTTCTCAGAGGAATAGCCTACTAAACCCTGAAAACCCTGAACCAATTTCAGCTTCTCTCGCGCTCGCTTGGATTCACCATGTATCGGGCAGCGGTAGCCGCCGTTGCTTCCTCTGCGCTCAGGTTTTGTCTCTTCCTTCCTCTTTATCTGAGTTGCCCCTTTCCATTTATTCGGGTGTTTTCATTTCTGATCTTTTCTACCCGTGTTCTCCCTTGTGTGGATCAGGCGATCGTCCTTCCAGAAGCAGGTACGTTGCTACCGCATCTTTTTCCTCTTTGGATTAATATTTTCTTCTTTTGATACTTTGTCAATGTCGGACGAAGAGGGATGCCCGGAGGATTGGGAGCGGTGTACTTCTTTATGCTCGGAGCTACGTCGCAAAGGACATCAATTTTGGGGTTGGGGCTCGGGCGGCAATGCTTCAGGGAGTTAACGAGCTTGCTGAAGCCGTCAAGGTTACCATGGGCCCCAAGGTGGGTCGGAATCCCTTTTTGTCGTTGATTCATGTTGCTCTGTGCATGAAACTTTTAACATGACCTAACAATTGAAAAGTTCCCAAGGAACCTCTCACGAGAGTTATGCGATTTATTATAGATGGAAATTTCGTTAATATCAAGTAGAATGCTTTCCTTTGTTCTTTTCCTTCAATGAGCTCTTTGGCAGTTCTCAAAAGCGTGCAGTGATTCTTAATTCATCACACATTTACCCTTCTTTGCTGTTTTTCTGATGCATGGGTTATAAATTGAATTGGTTGGTTATATTGAAGAAACATATAGGCGGTATGGTAATGTTACCATTGATTTGCAAGAGCTTTCTAGTGTTCTGGTTATATATAATTTCACCGAATGACCATTCTTCAGTCTGTCAAGTTGATATAATTATGCTGCATTATTTGATGCCGAGATTTGATTTTCTTTTTTAGGGTCGGACTGTCATCATTGAGAAAAGTCATGGAGGCGTTAAAGTTACAAAAGATGGTGTGACGGTTGCAAAAAGCATCGAGTTTAAGGAGAGATCTAAGAATGTTGGTGCAGATCTTGTGAAGCAAGTCGCTAAAGCCACTAACACTGCTGCAGGAGATGGTAAATTTAGTTATATGTTTTTTCCCTTAGTGTTCATTTTATCAGCACAATTTAGTTTATTCCTTAGTGTAACTTAGCGATGTAGGTGACTAGGGCTTGAATCACAGTGCTTAAATCTATATGTGAAATTAGTGAAATAAATGCTTATAATGAATTGATGGGAGAGGCCTGTTTTATTTGAAGAGCATTTGTCATTTTAGGTAACTCCAGTCATAATATAGATTTAAATGTATTATTGCAAACATCAAATAGCTGGTAAAGCTGATGCTAGGCAAATGTGGCAAGCATTCGTAGTTTGTAAAGCAGCTAGTAAAGTTGTACCAGGCAAGTGGGACAAGCTTTCATGGTTTTGTTTGACATTTCTTTTTCTAAATATATAGGACCATGGATGTCCAATTCAGAGTTTATTTGAATAAAGAGCTCTTGATGGAGTTAACAAGACATTGTCACTATGACATCCATCTAGTACAATATTTCTCTGGATCGATGGGCTATGTATTTAAAATTGATATAATGAATAATTGATATGGGTACATTACAAAAAGCTACTTCATTAATTTTCCATTTTGTTGGACAACAGGTACAACTTGTGCAACTGTTCTAACTCAAGCAATACTTGCCGAAGGTTGCAAATCGCTGGCATCTGGAGTTAATGTTATGGACCTACGTCATGGTATTAATATGGCTGTGGATACTATTATTTCCCATTTAAAGCATAGGGCCTGGATGATTAGTACTCCAGAAGAAATCACTCAGGTGAAGATCTTTCTCAGGAAAGAGTTCTTGTTGTTGTATAGACATGTATATTTGCTGTAAGTTCTGATAGCTGGTACTTTGTATCATATTTTTTCTTGTATTATGCCGCATGCTGGAATTTGATTCTGCTTAATGTCTGACTACTGAGCATTAATGTTCATGAAGTTCAATATGTTTTATGTCACATTATGGTAAATGGTGCCTCTTGTCATAATGTCCTGTATTGGACTGCAGACTGGAAGCTGCTCAACATTGACTACCATGTCCATGACGTTCAATATGTTTTATTTTATCTTGATAACTTATTATTATATATTTTCCTGTACTAAATTGCGTCCTGGTTTTTGGTGCTGCTTAATGTTTTACTATGTTTTTGTTTTTGCTGTCTATTTGCACTGGTTACTTTCTTTAGTATGTCATTGAATGCTTGTAAAATAGGTGGCTACCATTTCTGCAAACAATGAACGAGAGATTGGAGAGTTGATTGCCAGAGCAATGGAAAGAGTTGGGAAAGATGGAGTTATCACTGTTTCTGTGAGTATCTTTGAAATCTAAAACATAATTATGCTTCAAACTGATCCAGCTACCTAAAACTTTTGGCAAGTTTACTTGCTGCAGGATGGAAATACATTGGACAATGAGATGGAAGTGGTGGAGGGAATGAAACTAGGCAGGGGTTATATATCACCTTACTTCATTACAGATGTGAAGACCCAAAAATGTGTGAGTGTTCTTAGCTTCCTTTGGTTAGATTGATAAGCTGACAGCTTCTTAGAAAGAGTTCTTACAGTTCTTTCTAGAAATTCAAATGTGGATAATTGTATTTACTAATTTATTTTTTTTCTTTTATGACCATGTAATCAAAATAAGAGACATCAATTTTCTTTCACCATTTCAGTTGTAACATGTAGGTTTAATGTTCAATGTGTCATGACCTGGGCTTGGTCGGCTAACTGACCCATCAAGTTCGTTTGACTTAAACTACTGGTCAAAATAACTAAGCTAAAGTTGATAGTAGTTCACTCATCAGATCTTTATAAGCCAATTTTAGTCTTGTCCACTTTCGATATGGGACTAATCGAGGTGTTACAATTTCTCCCATTCAAGAGCTTGACATTCTCGTCAAGTCTCAACATAGCCTAGGTCAAACCCTAGCATGGTGCATGTGAGACATAGTCCAGTGGTGGCTCCATATCGTGACGAGTCGTCTAATTTCATTAACGGGTAGGTCTTTTCTACTCGAGTCCTATCATCATGCTCAAATATTATGTCAGCTCTGATACCAAATATCATGACTCATGACCTGAGCCTAATAGGCTAATTGACCTATCAGCCTTGCTTAGCTTAAACCACTAATCAAAATACTTAAGATGAAATTGATAATGTTATACTCATCAGATCCTTATAAGCTAATCTTAGTCTTACCCATTTCCGATATGAGACTAATTGGGATGTTACACAATGTCTTGTTGGAATTTTGTATAGCAGTGATTTTAACTATGAAGATCTTGGATTCTCTATATTTGACTTAGTCATTGGTGATACATGTTACAGTTGTAGCTGAATATTCCCAGAAATGTGATTCTGTCAAGATATGTAGCTCGCCTCAACATTGTGTTAGATTTAGATATCATCTGCTAGGATATTCTGGTTGTCATGATACAAGCTCAGTCACAGAATGTTGTTAAGAAATTCAAAGGAATGAACTTCATTGATATAATATTCTGGCAACATCCCCTCAGTGACAATGAGTTTGGACAACATTAGATTTCTCAAATTGGCAGGATCAATGTATCTGATATAAGAGTCATATAGTGTAGGTCTTCAATTGCATTTTGTTTGATATGTATAGTTGCTATTGTTTTTACCCAGAAATTAGAACATGTTTTTTTTCTTCTTATTTTATTAAGTTTCTGAAGTTGAATGTTTTGAAGGTAAACTTCTTGCCAATTGTTGACTGTATTCCTTTTCTCGATTCATTTTCACTAGAATACATTGTTTTCCAGGAACTAGAAAATCCATTGATTCTTATTCATGATAAGAAGATTTCAGACATGAATTCTCTTGTACGAATATTGGAGCTTGCTTTAAAGGTAATACAGCTACAAAGTTTTCTCATTTACATTTTTCTTGTTAAATGACTACCATATATAATCTAACTAGTAGAAATCTTGTCCAAGGTGACTCAAATGCTTACTTTGATGTGTTTATCTAGAATCATAGAGCACTTCTAATTGTGGCTGAGGATCTAGAAAGCAATGCTCTAGCCATGTTGCTACTGAATAAGCATCGTGCTGGTATCAAGGTACATTCCATATGGAATACAGATGCACACATACAATAATTCACTTAATCCCCCATGTTATTTATTCTTGCTAATAGGGTTTATTAACTTTCTGCTTAATTGGTTGTAATTATAGGTTTGTGCCATCAAGGCTCCTGGTTTTGGTGAAAATAGAAGAGCAAATTTGGAGGATCTTGCCATACTTACAGGAGGCGAGGTTATATGCTTCTCTTGACTTGGAATTTATATGCCCTGGATAGTGATCAGTAACTTTATTCCTCAGCAATCTTTCTTTGATGGATACCATTAATGTTGAGTTCACCATCTTATTTGAGCATTTAAATCATGCAGGTTATCACTGAAGATCATGGCATGAACCTTCAGACAGTCAAAGTGGAAATGCTTGGTACCGCTAAAAAGGTTTGTAGTATTTCATGTGCAATGCTGTGAATTCTAAGGTGATACTGATATTTTGTTGTTTAGGTAACTGTCTCTCTTGATGATACTATTATTCTACATGGTGGTGGTGACAAGAAGCTAATTGAAGAAAGGTGTGAACAGGTACTTATGATTAACTTATGAGTGTTGCAATTATTGTTTTCTTAACAAATATATGCTCATCATGAACTACTGGGAAAAAGGTACTATGTTATTCTTTTTTGTTATGATTAGTGAATAAACGGTATTTTTTAGCTTACTGAAAATAGAAACTAATGTTAGCTTTATGTTGGAAACATTTATATGATTATTTTATTGGATTCATAATACGATTGGCAACTATTTTCCCCTATAAGATATTACGTAGCTGACATAAGTTGACTATGCTGAGCTCTATAATACCTCCAACAAGATAGGACTTCTTCAATTAAGTTCAAGGTTACTTTTCTTGCTATGGTTGGACTTCTAATCCTTTTGGCCAAAACTGTAAGGGTCATGAGAAATTTTGCGTGGTCTCTTTTGCAGAGTGTTTTGTTGCCATATATGCTTGAATGATACTAGCATAGGTTTGGTCCCGACTAAGTTTGTAAACCTAAAGACTTTTCTCTTATCTTAATAGCTTAGAACAACTATGGAGAAAAGCACGGCGATGTTTGACAAGGAAAAAGCACAAGAACGGTTATCAAAGCTTTCTGGAGGTGTTGCTGTCCTCAAGGTAAACTTGCTGAAACCCATACTGGAATTGACTCTTTTCCTAGTAACTGCATATTCCCCATCTGTCTATAGATTGGTGGAGCAAGTGAAGCTGAAGTTGGTGAGAAGAAAGACAGGGTTACAGATGCTCTAAATGCTGCAAGAGCAGCTGTCGAAGAGGGAATTTTGCCGGGTACGTTTTTAATAATCACTCCATATATATATATATATATATATATATATATATATATATATATATATATATATATATATATATATATATATAGATATATATATATATATATATATAACTCATCTTTGTTTATTCTAATCTTATCTGCGAATTTTATAGGTGGTGGAGTTTCCCTCTTGTATGCTACAAAGGAGCTTGATAAGATTCAAACCTCCAATAGTGATGAGAATATAGGAGTTCAGATCATTAAGAATGCCCTAAAGGTCCTTACCTGTTTGATTTCTCATGCCTGACTGCATTACCAGTAACTTATCTGCTAACTGGGCTTGGGTTTTGTAGGCACCTACTTTAACTATTGCCGGGAATGCTGGTGTCGATGGTGCAGTAGTTGTTGGCAAACTGCTTGAACAAGAGAATCTTAATTTGGGCTACGATGCTGCTAAAGGTTTGTTTTCTTGTATAGCAATGTATTGTATTCATCTTACACTTAGTATAGGCATATTCTTCAGAAGCATTGGACATGATATGGCAATTTTTCAATAAGCTTCATTGGTCTAGCATTTCCATTTTAGTTTCTGCTATAGTATGCAATGAGATAACAAAGAAAACTGTACTGGAAGGTTAGATCATCCATCCATATTTGTTACTCTTCATGACACTTCCAAAGTTGTGGTAGATTGTTTGGGTGCACCGCTGCAGCTAAATATACATAACCTTGTTGCAAATAAGGTTCCAGGATAAGATAGACGATAAACTGTGTTATTTGCTTTATTTGATTTACCTCTTGTACATATGCAGGCATAGCATTGGTATTACCTATAAGTTGTATTGCTGTTTTTCATATTTGATTTTGCTTTGATCTTTATTGCTGTTCCTTCAAAGTTGTTTTTATAGTGGGTTTCATGTCAAGAAATGTTTTTAGGATGATGTGATGTATCATTAAATATCAAACGAGAGCTCTGTAAGATTCCGAAACTTTGTTTAAATTATGCTTAGCATTTTCATGCTCACGTATGAGGGCTTAGAGGTTGCTGGCAGAGCGTCTGGAAAGGTGTGTATTGTGCTATCACAAGGTTTAAATATGTGCTAAGAGTCTATCACAGACTGCTTTTCATAGTTCAGATGCAGGCAGATTCTATGGCAAATAGTACAACCATGCAAGATATCTGGAAATTGAAATGCCGGAAAGTTTTAGCCTCTGGCATTAATATTCTGGAAGTCAGCAAAGTACAAGCTGGTTGTACTTGTAGTGAGGTGAAATTGCATCCATAGGTCATGAATGTTGGTTCAGCAACAATTTCAGTTGAAGTACTATGTTGTAGTTGTTTGTTGTCTTTACTAATGAATAATAAACCATGGCTAAATTAGCTAGTTTGTTAGATGGTTACACTGTTTCTGCCTTCATCGAACAACCAAACATCTGATCCTTATCTTCATACACCATTTTTGTTCATGTTTTTAATTATTAGACATCTTGGATACTGCCACAGGAGAGTACGTTGACATGGTAGAGGCTGGAATAATCGATCCCTTGAAAGTTGTTAGAACTGCTTTGGTAGATGCTGCCAGGTGAAGCTCCATATGTTGATGTGATCACTTTTCTGTTGCTCTCCACAGTTTTTGACATGATTGCAACTTTGATGGCAGTGTTTCTGTCTTGTTGACAACCACTGAAGCAGCAGTCGTCGAGCTTCCTGATGCGAAAAGTGGCCCAAAAGTAAACCGCATGGCGCAGATGGGTGACATGGATTATTAATCGGAAGAAATAAATAGTGACTTCTGATTTTACATGGTTAGTCAACAACATGAGTGTTCCTTGAAGTGAGGCTGCTCCTTCAATCCACATCAAATTTGGTTGGGATTTTGCGTCTTTGAAGAGTTTTTGTTGTAGCTCAAGGCCATGTGAGTCTAGCATCATTTGAGCTTTGGATCATTAAAACTGTTGTAAGGTATATGCCCATTCATTGAGGTGGCTGCACAAGCTGACCAATAATTTTTTATATTTCCTTATTTACTTAGGGCAGGAATATTTAGATTGGTCCCGAAACAAGTAGTCCATGTAGTAGTAGTCTATGTGTCCAGTCTGAACGTTTGTATTTGGCCCATCCATTTGCCGTTATCAACTCACTGCCGTTGCATCAAGAAACCACGAGTTTCTGTTGCGTTGTGATTCGTGTTAACACTAACCTTATTTATGCAAAAAGGAAGTGATTATGCTTTTGTGTTGAATGAGTTTTGTTTTGTTTACTGTGAACAAACTTGGTTTCATCCAATGGGTTTTGATTTCACAGCACTTTCATGTCATGTACTTTTCAGTCATATAATCGAGAGCAGTAAAATAAACTAATTAATTTTATTTTATTTAATTTAAATTATAAATGTTTTTATCATTAAGTGATACTGTGGTAGTAAGGAAAATCAAAGTCATAGGTTCATATTAGAAATTATAAATAAGATGTTAAAACTTCTTCTACATTGCGTTAGCCAGCACAATGTAGATAGATATCCAGTCTCATTCTGTGTTGAAATCAAAAAGTTATTTTGAAGAACAAAAATAATAGAAATCAATAACACATTCTGTGTTGAAATCAAAAAGTTATTTTGAAGAACAAAAATAATAGAAATCAATAACTCCATAGGGAGTCAAGACAATGCTTTATGATACTTGTTATTACTTTTCAAGAAAAATAATTTTAATGACCCTCGAAAAGCCCCATTTTAATGGTCCCAACATCTACAAGTGGAAAATTGCTCGATTAAACGTCCCTTATGTTGGTGAACAAATATACCATTACTGGTGAGTCAGCACGGCTCAATCCATAGATCGATGTTGAGAGTTCTCTGTCGACTTGTCGACTGAGTTGGACGCCGCGGTAGGCCGGGCCCTCGCGACGGGATGTTGATCAACGTTTCTCGGTTCGGGCACTGTCTGCGTTGAGCAGCGTCTCCCCGTTCTTGGGCTAGTTGGCAGCTCGCCTTCATTTGCTGGATGGTGATTCCCAGGTCGAGGTGCTCGTGGCTCGGGGGTGGTCGCTTGCTTGCAAAAACGGCCTTCGTCGGGTGATTCCCGACTTTGGACCCTCCGACGAGCAAGTCAGTAGTTGTATTGAATCGTTTTTTTGCCTCCCCCCCTTTGGCCCGATGTCGGCTAGGGGCTTTTATATTATTGTACGAGGGTCGATCACACGCGTGTTCGACGTGGCAGTTGATCCTCAAGGGATGAGACGATACTATGCGGTCGTTGTCCCGGGACACGCGAGACGGTGTCAAACGACGTCGCCCCAAGCTTTCGGGACGGGATCTGCCAACCAGCGCCTCGGTACGAATTCTGACTTAGCGTATAGGGGTGCTCCCCTTGCTGACCTGGATTTCGTGGCTGGTGTCGATTGTGACGTGTCTTGGATCCAAAATATACCCTATCACCTTGAACCAAAAAAAAAAAAAAGTTTATTAACTTCTTACGACTCAAATCAAAGATTTTTGTTTGGTCTCTTAAGTGATATGCCTAACTTTGTGACTTGGTGCCATCTTAGAATTGACTCCGACCATTATTAGGTTAAGCAAAAGCTAAGAAGATTTACTTGGACCAACAATATGCTACTGTAAAGAAAATTCCAAAATATTAAATGTTACTTTCATTCGTGAGGTCTAATATCTTGAATGGCTTATGAATATTATAGTCCATTAGTTTCCCCTTAGTCTAATATTTTTTCAGCATAGTCAAACTTATGTCTAGCACATGGGCTAAGGGGGTGAATGGGCCAAGGAGGACAATTAATAGTGAAGTCTAGCACATGGATGGTTCAATACGATATCACATCTTGTTAGATACTACATTAGCGACACATCGACCAAGCATCATGCCTATATCAACTCAATGCCATCTCCAGTACCCAATTAGCCATAACATGTTATAATGTCCATAAAGTGATGTACCTAAGACGTTTTATAGTAATCTCAGATGATTGATTGGAGTAGGTGAAAGTTAATTCGTGGCGGGCAATTACGTAGAATTGTCAAGCATTATTCAAACATAATAAGTGACTAAATTGTTATGTTATTATGTATCGTATTAATTTGATGAGATATTTGACTAATGTGTCAGGTTGATAAGGGTTGTTAGATAAGGGATGACATCACATACAAACATTCATGTGCCATATTCCCCCTATCATAGTGAAATGGTCCAACAAATGTAAGAAACTCAAGATTGTTTAAGTGAAAAATTAGTGTTGGTTTTGAGATTCATGAATATGAAAATCCAATCATAAAGGATCTAATCTACAATTTTATAATTAACTCAAAGGTATCCCATCCTTTGTCAGTAGATTTTGGACAACAAAACTAGATGGAGAACTATCTTATAAATTGATAATGTCAAATTACAAAGGTAGCTTTTCAAGTACTATCTATCGTATTTGGAAGAGAAAGATAATTGACTACTCAAATCTTTTAATTTTTTTCCCCATAGAAATGTGGAGCATTGGCCTCGACTTGCCAGAGCTGGGCTATTTGGTCTTCGGTCCAAGTTAGCTCGATTTGAGTTAGTCAACCCAAATTGACTTGATCGTGTTGGTCAAATGAAATTGATCAGTCAAAATCAAATATAAACCGAGCTGGTTGGGCAACTTGACCCAACAACCTGTGTCGTCGATCAAAATTGTCTGACTTCGGTTATAAGAAAAAGTCTATTATATTATTGACTGTCCTTTGGATGATTGGTACAGTGGTAAAGGGCAAGACTTTAAAAGGTCGGCTTGGGTTTAGCACATCAAAGAGTAAGAAAATAAAATTTTCTTTTTCCTCTAAATACTCGATTGATGTGATACACCAAACAGGTTCTTCATCATAGATTGAATTTCATATCAAATCAAAAATAATGATCGTATCTAAAACTATCACACAAGACAAATATAGTACTTGGATTCTCGGGGTCTTCAGGTTCATGTTGAAGTCCTAAAGTTAGTCCTATTAATGTGTACATACACAAACATAAATGTGAAATGAACAATACAAGATAAATCTAGTTGAACTTTTGTACCAGTGAAGACCATTATCACGCCAATCTGCAACCACAATCAGCTTGCAGCGTCCATCTACTCCAAATAACAAGACGATCCAAGAAACTATTAAGTTCACATATTTGGAGGAAGTTCCCCTCCTTGATACACTTTCCAGGGGCCCCAATAGAATTTTGGCCTCATGATAGGCACCGCTTCACCTGGATGTTCTTCCCAGTATTTTTCCTACTCCAAGTCATCAAATAAGTTCACGTCAGGAAATTAAGCATCTTAAACTTTGTTCACCAGATCATAGTACATATATGAACAAGGCAAAGTTTAGCCATAAAACAACGGAGGAAGCTCAGCATGATTTGGCATCCCATTGCACTAAACAAGCTAAAAGCAGTCCGGAAGGTGCTTTGTACAGCAAGAAGCATCAATTGTATCCATCGGCAATAGAGGTAAGTTTCATGAGAGAATAACCAATTACACAGTGATCACAGAAAGATTCAAGAGACATGAACCAACTGAGCGGTGATAAAGAAATATTCAAGAATGACAAATTACATAGCGACAAGAAAAAGAGAGGCAGTTACCAAAAGCAGTGATGCTGAAAGCATAATCACAAGCAGCTACAATAGTGGAAGAAGGAAATTTTCAGTGAAGTTCGTTTGAAGGATCTAAGAACCAGCTCACACACATTCTCTGAAGTAAAAGCAAGAATGATATCTTTGCCTCTTCAAGTGAGAGACGTACCCAAATACATCGTATCCAGAAAAGTTCAAAGTGGCCTCCTCAGGTTAACTCCTTGAATCATTGTTGGGAAAAAAATTGCTCGATTGCAGTGGACACTCTGTTGTGTGCATGCCAGCCAGTAAAAGAAAGCGATGCAACCCACTAGTACTTAGCAAATACAAACCTAGATTAATAACCTCTGTTTTTCTGCCTTGTTAGGAAATCATACAGAAACATACCTAGATTAATAACCTAGATTAAGAATGATACAGAAACATTCCATGAGAACCTTTGGCTGTTTCCTAATAAGGCCCTATCCAAAAATATAGCAACTCCATCGCCAATAATGTACTGAGTATAGATACAGAAACATTCCATGAGAACCTTTGGCTGTTTCCTAATAAGGTCCTAATTAGATGCATGCTGGATATTTTAAAATGCTCTAGGTGCTTAGAATTAGCCTTCCCCAATTAACCATTTGAGAGCCATCAACATCAACATAACAGCCCCATGAAATGCACAAGCATCACTATTAGGTGACACAATCTTAGTACACCTTTATAAAAGTACACATCATTTTTAAAATGATTAGGCTTTTCAATATCAAACTTACCTATTGTCTATGAACACACTTGAGGAGCCCTTTTATATGGACTCCAGATATCCTTGCTTCTGCACTAGATGTCGGTTATGGCGGTGGTGAACCTCTTCCGAACTTAACTGTGATTGTGGTACACCAAACCGAGGACATGACAGCATCCAGCTCACTCAAACTCGCGTTGAGGTGTCTACCATGTGGCGTTGCGACATCCACCACATGAAGCTGTGATGCTTGTCATGTAGCGCTGAAGTGCTAGCCACGTGGCACTAAGGTGTTCGCTAGGTGTTAAAGGCTAAGGTTCGAATGCTCCAAATCATCTAAAGGTGTAAGGTAATGAATGAGCTCGACCCACTATTTATCGGGGCCGAGCATGATCTTTCATTTACCCTAAGTGGTCATTCGACCCTCAGACAATTTGAGACATGTGACACGGCATCACTAGAATGATCAAGAATTTTTCGGGTCATCATTGTGATCTTTTAGAATCCTCGATAATCCAACCAACTGACGCATGGAGACTCTTGGTGACACCACATCAGCTTGATGACGGGCTACCATTGAGAAACACCAGGAATCCAATCTTGTCGGATTTTATGCAATGATCAAGATCTCATGCCATGGGCGAAAAGGGCGGTGATGACGCCTTGCACGTGCAGGCACCATACGAGAACCCTCACATGAGGATCACACGTGCAAATAACCGAACCTGATGTGTGTGGCCGAACTAGCCCAAAGTGCATCCTGACGACGTGTATGGCCGAGCTAGCCCAAAGCACATTTCGACGACACACACGGCTGAATCGGCCTAAAGCACATTTTGATGATGCGCACGATCGACTCGACCTAAAGCACATTTTGACATTGCACATGACCAAATTGATCAAAAGCACATTTTGATGATGCACGAGGCCAAATCGGCCAAAAGCACATTTTGACAATGCACATGACTAAATTGGCCCAAAGCACATTTCGACAACGCACGTGGCCGAATTGGCACAAAGCACATTCTGATGGCACACGTGGCCAAATCGCATTTCGACAACACGCATGACTGAATCAATCCAAAGCACATTTTGACGATGTTCACAACCAAATCAACCTAAAGCGCATGTCAACGATACACACGATCATATCAGCCCACAATATATTTTGGCAACATGTGCAGCCTACCAACCTATAGCGTAATGCAGAGACAAACAAAATCAACGCAATCAAACGCACACAAATTCATGATATGCTTTGGTGTTGGCAGACCAATTTGGGCCACTTCCTGACTCGACTTCACTACGCTAACGAGTCACGACATGGGTAGCAACTGATAGAGGAATAGATACATGGGCAACACCTCAGTGAACACCTCGATACCACGTGGTCGACTCCTCAACACCACATGGCCGACACTACAATGCTACACGGTTGACACCTCAACATAAGGCTAAGTGGGCTGGATGTTATCACGCCCTGAGCTTGGTGCACCACGATTGCAATTAAGTCCGAAAATGGCACACCACCTTCTTCGTAATCGGCATCTACTATGGAAGTAACGATATCCAAAATCCACTATTAAAATGACTCATCAGGTGTGTTTCACAAACACACCTTTTTCTCACAAAAGTTTAACTTGAATCCTTTAAACCTCTTTCTCACTTACGCATCGGAGGGGCATTGTTAGGAGCAATTTCATAAACAAAAAAGTAACAAGATGTTGCTCAATGCTCATAGAGTTACTGAAACACTTTCATAAAACTTAAGCTTTACTTAATGTGAATATCTTCTACGTGAAGGAACAAAGTGAACTATAATTCCGTTCCCTTTTATCAAAATATATACTAATTCACATATACTATAAATGACTTCGTCATGGGATATGCATTAATGATCGTGTGTTATAATCTTGATTATTCATGGGGGATTTGAAGGATTGCCCTAATATGTGGTCATATACAGATTCTCTTGTATAGAAGAGGTTGCAATATGTGCATGATATTTCCATAAGTCTCCCAATAGGATTTTAATAACATAAATATAATCATTATTTATATATATTAAATCCTAACATTTCAAAGGTTAAGAAATTATCATGAAATGTAAAATAATATCATCTCGTTGTTCAAGTAACACGCTTATTTCTATAAGGATAAGTAAAATTTAAGCAACACTGTGAAAGCAATGAAATCAATAACAACTTTTTTTTTAAGACAACTCATTAAAAGAGGTTTTCACAAGTTCTAAAGTTTTCAATTTGTCCTCGAAAAGTGTCCCTGATTGATATCACCTTAAAGTGTTGCTTGAATCTCCCTAATCTTTGGAGAAATTTTTAAAATTGCTAGCAAAGTTTATCATTATGTTAAATTGCATATGAAAAACTATTAGCAAAATCTTAATTGATGTTGAATTTCCCTAGAAATGTAGGGCAACTGGGCAACTTCTAAATTCCATATGTAATATTAAAAATCTTAATTGTCATTTGTACTATGTGTATAATAGTAGACATTATAAATTAAAAATGATGTATTTTAACACCCGGCTCACTCTATTTCTTCAAATGAAAGATACCTACACTAAGTGAAACTTAAACTTTACAAAAAACAAGGATCATCGTTTCAGGTACCTAACCCATTTTGGTGAACTGTCGGACTGGTACATACCGGTTAGTACCGGTGTACCATGTGTCATTACACCAGTATGTATCAATGTTTCAGAGAGGAAGAAAAAGAGAAGAGGAAAAGATAGCATGAATAGAGGAGGAAAGAGGAAGATGAAGAAGCAGTGGAGGAGAAGGAAGAAGGAAGAAGAGGAGAAGAGGTGACAGTGGACTTGGGAAGAAGAAGGAATGCAGCGACAACGACGTCACAAAAGCAACAACATTGTGAAACAATAACAATGACAGCAGCATCACGAAGCAACGACAACACCGTGAAGTAATGGCACAACACCGTGAAGTAATGGCAACGGCAACGACTAAGTAACAACGATTGCGAAGTAACAATGATGGCAGCGTTGAAACCGAGAAGAGGGCTCGCAAACAACAGCAACATTGAACATGAGAAGAATGCTCTCGTTAGCAAGCCCTAATTTCCATTTTAAGTTTTTTTTTCCTTTCTTAATACCAAGTTGGTCAGGCCCCACCACTAATTTTGATTTCTTATTATTTTTACTGAAACGGGAGTAGTCTGCGTATTGGCCCACACCCGAACCGATACATACCGAACATTTCATATTGTTTTGAGCGGTACATCCATCCTTGATAAGAAGTACTTCACCAATCGCATAGTATAAGCATCAAGCAACACTCTGTTCTCTTTTATTAAGTTTTAATCATCGAAAAACATAAGTTTTTTGGGGATCGTTGGAGTTTTTCTGGAGATTCAAAATCTTATAAAAATTAGTTCTTGGTGATTATAATAACTACCTAATTTAAAAGAAGTGTTCCTTGGAATAATACCTTTTAAGATACTTTTTAAGGCATTGTTAGAAGCTATAAAGATAGTTATAAATACAAAAATTCCACCTCTTTTATTTTATTTTCAATTGTGTTGTTCAATTTTATTTAGTTATTTAGTTTGCTAAAAGAGATCAAGTAAAATCTCTCTGCCATTATGCTCGTAGGAGGGATGATAAATGTTAAATCTTGGGTACAAATGTCAACTAATTCTCACACGTAATGAGGAGATTTAGCCTTAAAACAACATATACCCGTCTCGAGGTTCTTTATTGAACTTTTTCTTTAAATTTGTTATTTCAATATTCATTATTTTATTAATCAGATCCAAGTACTATTACTTTGTTCTAAATTAAATAAAGAAAATAAGTTTCACAATTAGCATTGCTGACTTGTCTAAACATGCATCTAACAAACTAAATAATTATAGATTCACAATTCTACATTATTTCACAAGAGACAAGATGAAACATTAGAGAAGAATCATATTGGGAAAAGAAGCCATTACCTATTAATTTGGAAAATGAATAGTAGAACCAATCAATTATCAGTCAACAAGTATTTGTTCTTTTATAATTTTGCGTTCACAATAAACCGTATATCGAAAAGAAAAACCAATGCAAGAACAAAATTCTATACTTGAGTATCGTTGTCAATAACTTGCACGAAAAAAAGTGACAGTCACATAGTTATTTAGAAGATAACAATGACTCCATCATACGGTGATCATTAGCAAATCTAGAAAACACACTTACAACATACCTTACCCGTATAAAATCAATGGTCATAGAAAAGATGAAAAAAACAGAACTCAATATGAAGGGGAAGGGGGAAAAATTTATAGAACTTGATTACTTGACAGAGCTAAAAATCAGATCCCATGAAAAAAAGCGTACCTTATAAAGCTGCTCGGTAATGGCGGATCCGATAACCCCTGTGTAGAAGGCAGCAACATAGATCGAGATAAGAGGGGTGAAGGATTTGGGACGCCTATATGGCTCGATCAGATCCCAAAGGACTGTCTTTTCCCATTTGTAGAACTGCCGGTCGGCATACATCTTCCACAGTCTACTCGCCATCACTGATTGGCTAAGATTACATACAAATATTCTAAGGTCATCTTATCGTCCTCAGGACCTTAAACATACTAAACCCCAGGAACGATTTCTAATCTGAATCGGAAACAGACACTAAAGAAATAAACAGAGGAAGAGAAATACCAGAAGCGGGTAGGGAAAGAACAACTCGGAGAAGAAGGCAAGCGTGTGGTTCCGATGAACCACGAAGTCCAGCATCAGACGAGGAGGAGGAGATGCTGACAGATTTGTAGGACGGCACGATCGTGGAATAAAAGCGTGAGAGCGGCGAACCTTCGTGACGATTGGTCGGATCCGAATGAAATCTGCTAGGGACCGAATCCGTTAAAATGAGAACCCTAAACCCGATCAGATGTCCCAAAAATACGTAATTGACCCTCTACCGTCCAACGTTAGTGGGTGATCCAATACACTTGGGTGAACTCGTCCTTTCATTTCTCTTTCCTGTCGACCACCCGATCACGACGTGAAAAAAAAAAATATATATATATATATATATACTTATTTTTTATAAATATCATGACCCGAATTCCTTTTTAATAAAAAGATAATTGTTGAAAGAAAAAAAATGTCGTATTTTTAATCAGAAAAGAAATAATATTTTTCTCTCAACAGTGTGTAAGGGAACTTAACTGAAGAAATAAAAATCAGAAAATGGGGCCTAAGTAATTAAATAAAAGAAATAAAATTTCGTATAGTTTCCTTTAGATTATATTTGATTCAGATGCTCGACTCAGTGCTGGTCCAGAAAAATGCGAGCATCAATTTGAGCTTAGAGTCCAAAAACAAAAAAAATCAGTAATTGTTTCCTCCTTGCAAGAACTTGGTGGGCATGTGATACACTTGCTATAGTAAAAGGAAAAAAGAATAGTAACACAACTTACCCTGATTCAGTGATAAACTAATTACATTATCAGTTTTACTTTAGGTATGTACAATTTTTTACATATATGATACCAGACACAACACAATTGCATTTCTAAGTATGTATTTGGAGACTTCATGTGTGACTTTATTTGTATGTGCATTTCTAGTGGACAAACTGCACGTTTCAACGCCTTCCAAAAGGTTTATGACAGATCAGGCTCACCGCAGAATGCGTCCGGCTCAAATGACCTTGCAGATTCATCACTGTATGCCCCAGCTACAGCTCGCTCCCCAGAATCTTTTGATGTATCCCTTGGGTTTTCGATATTGATGAAAAGGAAGGCACATGCGACTAAGGAGATCGCGAGACCTATTAAAGTAAGCTTCACTCTGCTTAACACGGGTTTCACCTGAAGACAAAGTAAAAAATACATGATGACGAGCATTTGATGAATCCGTAAAAAGTACTATCATTTTCCATGGACTACTACATGTAATGCTAAATGTTCTAAAAGGAAATCATCCACTAGCTACAAAGAATTCAGGCAAAACCCATCAGAATAAGTAATGTCAATTGCGGTTCCATTGAACTCATTTCAGGTATCAACCTTGTCGTCTCATACCAAACATACGTTTTCATGTGCATCGATTCATATAGTATGCTGCATAACAAATCCACTATATTCAGTCCAGCATCAGTCAATTTTGGCTAGTTGAAAGAACTAAGCATTTGCAAGCCAATCAGCATAAATCTTTTAAACAAACTTGCATGACAACGATTGACTAGTGTATCCTGAAGGAATTCAGTGTAGACCTGAAGGTTACAGAGGATAACCCAAAAAAAGATGTACTTCGGATATAAATTGGTCAACTTACAGAAAATGAACCTAGAAGACGATCGCGAGCTAAAACTTCAGGGGTCTTCACCCATATCTGTCAACAACGAACAAACATATCACAATACTTAAACCTGAAACTAAAGAGAAAGCAAGCATGTAGTTGGACATTCAATTGATATTATCAATGGCCCTTTACAAACAAAACATACATTTTTCATGAAAGAAGTGGTGACCCTCATGAAAATTTCATAAGCTCCAAGTGGATATAGTTTTGCACTTATGAAAGTTTATCAGCCCTACTTGCAGTAGGGCCCATTTGATGCAAAGAACATTGCAACATAGTTTTGCACTTATGAAAGTTTATCAGCCCTACTTGCAGTAGGGCTGCAAAGAACATTGCAAAGTTAGGTCCAAGTACTCAAAATCTGACACTGGATAAAGCAGAACACTCCAACTCTGGATTATGTCTGGTTTAATTCTCAAAACCATTAATAAGCAAAAGCAACTAAGAACTAATATCCTCTTCTAATGACATCAAATCCTAAAAATTTCCTTTTAGTGCCAACTGTTGAATCAAATAGAAGCCTTCATGCTCTCTAAAAATTTGGTCTTCCGTCGGTCACTGGCTATGTAATAATTATGTCCATTGTTGAAGTCGCATAACTTTTTGTCACAGTGCAATTTGCTTTCAATTAAAGAAGACGTAGGTCATAAGGAGTGGCAGCTAGTTGTGCCTACATATGCGAGCAGACAATGCAGCATCAGAAAGTGAAGGTGCGGTGTAACTTTAACACTGACTTAAATTAACACCAAATAAAAAAAAGAGTTATAAAAAAAATTCACATTGCATCATTCTTTTTGCACAGCAGATCTTAGGTAGTTTAAGATATTAGACGTGATGTATTACAGATAGAGAGCTTGAGTATTGGGTCAGGGATGTTATGACACCAATTCATTATGCTCCAGTTCATTTATTTTGTATCAGTTTATTCAATTACTAGTAACATAGATCGCATACTATTCTACTCATGTTGCAGGAACATCTGCACTTGCAACAGGACTATGTGATCACATGAACTAGAGAGAACCCATTCGATCCTTTAGAGCATCATTATTCTATCAAGCTCATCTGCCATAGACAACACCATCACAAGATACAGGGATAAGATCTAACTGAGTTTGCAATTTGCTTATTTACAGTTTGCTTTCCATTCAAGAAATTACAGAAAGATCAAAGATTGTGATTAGAATCTTAAGGAAAAAAATACTGAATAGAACCTTTTTTATCTATTTGATTTAATGCTTAACATAAATATAACATCCAAAATCAAGACGCAAGATTGATAACAACAAAATATGCTCCTTTATCAATGCTTAAAGCTTAAAACACATCCAGACTCAAGAAGGAGAAAAAAGCGCACAATTCGGTACCAAGAAAAGAAGGATCGGCGATACATCCTTACCTGACCATCATACCATCCCGTCTCCTCATCTGTTAGGCGAACAGAAATTTCAATCGGAAATTGTTCGAATTAAGAAAACAAGGGATCGGAAATACGAAAGGAGTGAGCTGTCTTACACTCGACAGTGGCGCTGAGCAAGCGGTTGCCGATGTAAGCCCATCCGAGGTACATCCGGAGGACGGCGAGCGTGACGGCGAGAAGACCGGCGGAGACGACCCCGAGGGCGCAGCGGGGGTCGGAGAGGCTGCCGGTTCCGAAGGCGGAGACGGGGAGGCCGACGATGAGGGCGAAGGAGGCGCCGGTGAGGGCGAGGCGGGAGGAGTAGAGGCGGAGGTCGGCGGTGGCCCAGGAGAAGGGGAGGGAGGTTGAGAGGGACTGGTACTCGTTCACCGGCTGCTGATCCAGAGGCACCGGACAGTCCGTCTCTGACGGGCTCCCGTTGCGGAAGGAAGAGGACGAGGAGGCGGATATTGGGCAGATACTCTTGCTCTTCTGCTTCTTGTTTGCCGTCATCCTCGTAAGGACAGGGGTAGAATTAGAAGGGAGCTTGTGTGCGGGGAGGAGAGAGAGGAAAAGAGATGCCGCCATGGAAGGAGCACGGGAGGTGACGCTTCTCCGTCTTCTCCGTTTCTATGGTGGCCTTTGAGTTCGGACTCGGGGGAAAGGGATTGTGCTTCGATGTAGGTAACTACTGTTTCTCTTTCAGCTTTTATTTTTTATTTTTTTATTTTTATTTTTTATTTTTTTGGCTTCCGTTTTCGGGGTTTGAACTTCCGAGCTTGGGTATTGTTTTTGTTATATGAAACTTTGCTTTCAATAGGTATATTCAGTATTTTTTTAATAAAAATATCTTAAATCTTTGTATTTATTTTTTAATTAAAAAATAATATGATATATTATGACGAAAATCTGATTTGAATTTTATGATAAAATATCAAAATCTTACTAACTAACACCATCAATTATAATAAAGAAAATTTTGATATATCAGTTTATTTAGTATTATGAAAAAAAGTCATTGATATCTTGGTCAACCTCACATGGTCTAAACCCATGTATACAGAGTTATCTAAGGTACCTTTGAGATGAAAATATCGAGCATTTGAAGTGTCATATGCAATAAGACCGAGACCGAAAGAAGTCTCCTGACTTGATCCCTCCAATGCTCAGGTTAGTAACCCAAGGTAGATGAGTGTGGATACGAGTGATCGAAAAATGATCCCCCTTCATTGTGTTGAAGATAAGCTTTTATACCTGGTCATAAAAGGATGAAATATTTCATGAAATATTTTACAAGGAGGTAACCTCTAACTATCTCAAACAACATCCCTTTGGCATTTTATCCATGCTAGCGATATGAGGGGATAGTCTATGATCGTCTATCTTAAATCCTTGTCCACATGGGCAAACATGCAGGGGTGGTCTTTGTCTTCTCCTTCCACCTTAGACACCACATGGAAGGAGAGGATCGAGATTTCCTAACCTCCGAGCCTCGGGCAAAGAAGGGACTGAACCTCCATGTCTCAGGCGAAAGAGAGACCCGACCTCTATGGCTTGGGCCAAGAAGGGGATCGAGATTTCTTGTCCTCCATGCCTTGGGCGGAGGAGGGGGTCAGGTTTTCGATCTCCACGTCTTGAGTGGAGAAGGGACTCAACCTCTACACCTCGAGTGGAGGAGGGGGTTGGGTTTCCTAACCTCCATGTCTTTGGTGAAGAAGGAACTCGATATCTATGTCGCGAGCGAAGGAGGAGATTGAGATTTCTTAACCTCCACACTTTGGATGGAGGAAGGGGTCAAGTTTCCTAACCTCTATGCCTCGGGCAAAGGAAGGTCCTAATCTCCACGACATTAGCAAAGAAGGGGATCGAGATTTTCTGACTTTCATGCCTTGAGCAAAGGAGAGGACCGATCTCCACATCGTGGGCAAAGGAGGAACCCATCCTCCATGACTTAGGTGAAAGAAGGGATCGAGATTTTCGACCTCCATGCTTCAACAATAGAGGGGGTTGGGTTTCTTGACCTTCACGACCTAGGCAAAGGAGGGGATTAGAATTTTTTAACTTCCAGGCCTCGTACAAA